GATAAATTTTCTTATAATTAATTATTATATGTATCTGTTGCAAGCTTTTCGAACAGCTATCAATGCATTAGGGTTATGCGTGCAAATGTAAATTATATGAATAGATTTCCCATGACAACATAGACCAAAGATATATGGGTATTGGTAAATATTTACATCACCTTATTTAGTATATAATAAAGTAAATTATTTTCAATTAAGAGCTGAGCTTGGCATACTAAATTCATTTAACAAGCATAGCATTTTTAGTCCAATTGAAATTTCTACCAGACAACTTACTAGTTTTTTTAAAGTTTTACTATATAATTAGGTAAGTTTATAAGAGGTTATTAGATTGATTAAAATAAAAGATTTGTCTGGTTTAGATTTCCCGATTTCTGTAACTATTTCTTGAATTAATTTGTGCATTTTTACCTCTCAATTTATTCATCTATGCAACGATATAGCTGAGAAAGGCATATTTTTCTAAACTTACATAGTTTTACCACTATTTTGTTCTTCCTTTATGTATTTGGCTTCGTATATAATCTTTACTAAATCTGGTGGATGTATGTAAATATTTTTTAATTTGCTATAGCCTCTACTTACCTCATTTCTTCTAAATTTCTGTATCCTCTTCAGGAAGAAGCCACTTTTGCTCAACTTTTTATTGGTGCTCACGTCTGGAGCAGACTATGGCAATGTCTTGGTCATGCCCTAGGCATACGAGAACGTCGTAAACGGAGCCTACCCAGTATTCTCCTTCAACAACAATCCGCAACTTCAACAAACACTGCCTCTTCGAAAGCCCCTCCCAATTTGACGACTTATTCAGATTTCTCACGCCTAGCTACATTGACCTCTAAGGCCTATGAAGTGGGCACCGGGGTACAGGATGCAAGTATGCTATCAGCTAGTGGTCTTTTGCATGCTCTTCACCTGGCTGCTGCCGTATTTGCAAAGGTGGGTGTCATTGTAAATTAGCCTGTTATATATATATAAAAGAGAAATAAAAAACAGATAGAAAAAGAACAATATGACTAAATTTATATGTATTTGTTTTATCCAAAAGTAAGTATCTTTTGTTATGCTCATGTAATTATAACGTAGATGTTGATGAGTGAGTTTGTTAAGTGGATTGTTCTATAACTATTTAGTTTAACTCAAAAATCCGATCATTTCTGGCTTTCAGCATCTATTAGCTCTAGACTCTACTATTCTGAAATGATTTGTATACTATGATTAACTAATTTATGATTTCACTATTGAGCCATCATTATAGGCTAATTGTATATATTTTAATCATAGCATTGTTTCTTCCTATGCTGTCTACAAGGCTAGATAATGTTAAACCAAGCAATACACTATCGTAAAATCTCAAACTCGAATAAATTTATTCCTGAGAAATGTAATGCTTGATTTATTTACGTGACTGCAGTTTTGTTGAGCTCACTTCCATTTTGAAGTAAAACTGTGCTATAAACAGATCCGAAGGTCGATCCAGACATAAGACAACGGCGAATTCCTTTTGACCAGCTGTCGGTTGGTTTTAATGAAATATTCTCTCTGATGCCATTCCCGAGGCAATCCATCGATTACGGTGAAAGTTTGATAAACTTTTGTCAATCATATGAGTGGTGCTATCATTTTTACAAAGGTATTCAAGCTAACGAGTAAAAAAAACTAACTGGCCTATACTTATACGCTTATATGTCTATGCATTTTCCTGAGTTATAATGTGATTTATTTAGTCAAATTAATATATCAATGAAGAGGTATATGCGAGTGTATTTGTAAATGTTAAAGTGTTTTCATGTACATGTAAATCTATGAAAACACCAGTGATTGCTCAAAGTAATTAGAACAAAGCGTAATGTTTGCCCTTAGCCATCAAGATTTTATGAGTTCCACTTCTAATTTGTTTTTTTTTCTAACACTCTAAAGA